TTTTCAGTTTTACATTTTTACTATTTTTCGATTTCTTAATTGTCCAATTTTTAATGAATCAATTTTTCAATGCTCAATTTTATTATTCTTTATTTTTAGAGTTTTTAGTTTCTTCAATTTTTCGAATTTAAACTTTTCAAAATTTTGGCTTTCAATTTTTCAAATTTTTGATTTTTCCAGCTCACAGTTTTCCAATTTTTTGTTGTCATTTTTATAATTTTCCCATTTCAGTTACTCATTTTTATATTTTTCGATTTTAAAATTATTCTGTTTTAAATTTTATGTTTATGCAATTTTTCAGTTTTACAGTTTAATAATTATTGAAAAACTGAATAAATAGAAAAACCGAAAAATTCCAAAAGAGAAATGACGAAAAATTGGGAAATCGAAAACAATTATATAGAAACAGTTATATAGATTAATCTAAAAATTGACAAACCAACAAATTTTACAGATCAAGAAATCGAAAAACTAACAAATCGAAAAATTTTATGAACCAAAAAATCAAAAATATTTTTTCTGAAAATTCGAAAAATCGAGAAACATTCGATAAAATGAAACAACGGAATTTCGATAAATAAAGAAATTGAGAAATGAAAAAAATTAAAAATCAAAAAATTGAAAACAAAAATCGAAAAATTAAAATATCTATCCAAAAATTGAAAAAAATCCAGAAACCAACAAATTTTACAGATCGAGAAATCGAAAAACTAACAAATCGAAAAATTTTATAAACCAAAAAATCAAAAATATTTTTTCTGAAAATTCGAAAAATCGAGAAACATCCGTTAAAATGAAACAACGGAATTTCGATAAATAGAGAAATTGAGAAATAAAAAAAATTAAAAATCAAAAAATTGAAAACATCAAAAATCGAAAAATTAAAATATCTATCCAAAAATTGAAAAAAATCTAGAAAATGAAAAATTCCAAAAACTGAAATGTTGAAAAATGAAGAAATCCAAAACTCGAAAAATCGAGAAATCTAAAAATCGAAAAGTCAAAAAATCGAATAAAAACATCGTAAAAATGAGAAACTGAACAATCGAAAAACGCAAAATTTGAAAATTCGAAAAATTTAAAAGGTTGAAATATCGAACTGAAAAATCGAGAAATTGAAAAACCGAGTAATCGATAGAACGAAACACCAAAAAATTGAAAAACTGAAACATCGAGAAACGAAATATTAAACGATCGAGAAATCGAGAACTCGAGAAGTCGAGAAATTCGAAAAATTGAGAAATCAAGAAATCGAGAAATTGAAACATCAAAATCTCGATAAATCGAGAAATTTAAAAACTGAAAAATGGAAAAACTGAAAAACTTAGAAATCGAAAAACCGATGAATTGAAACATTGAAAAATCCCAAAACTGAAATACGGAAAAACTGAAAAATCGAGGAAAAACTGAAGAATCGTAAATGCCCAAAATCGAAAAATCAGAAATTTAAAAACTGAAAAAATTGAAAAAGTTGAAATAAAGAATCGATAAATCCAACAATCGAAAAATTGAAACAACGGAATATAGATTATGTGATCTAGAAATTAAGAAATTAACAAATTTTAAAAATCGAGAAATAATCTAAAAATTGAAAAATCGAAAAACTGATAAATCGAAACATTTTAAAATCGAAAAACTAAATAATCAAAAATAGAAAAAAATGCCAAGTAAAACCTATTTAAATTTTATAAAATTCTACGCATTTTTCAAGCTTTCGTTTTAATGATGTTTCGATTTTTCCATTTTTCTATTTTTAAAATTTTTCATTTGCGATTTTTTAATGTTTTGAATTTTAATTTTTGTAGAAGCAAAAGTAAATAAGTAACAGTTGCCCCTTGAATTGAAAAATATTGTTTCTGAAAAATGGAAATATCGCGAAATCGAACAACCGAAATATCGGAATGTTGATAAATAGAAAAATTGTAAAAATCGTAAAACCGAGATGTCAAAAAATGGAATAAAAACATCGTAAAAATGAGAAATTGAACAATCGAAAAACCCAAAATTTGAAAATTCGAAAAATTTAAAAGGTTGAAATATCGAACGGAAAAATCAAGAAATTGAAAAACCGAGTAATCGATAGATCGAAACATCAAAAAATTGAAAAACTGAAACATCGAGAAACGAAATATTAAACGATCGAGAAGTCTAGAAATTCGAAAAATTGAGAAATCAGGAAATCGAGAAATTGAAACATCAAAATCTCGACAAATCGAGAAATTTAAAAACTGAAAAATGGAAAAACTGAAAAATCGAGGAAAAACTGAAGAATCGTAAAAGCCCAAAATAGAAAAATCAGAAATTTAAAAACTGAGAAAATTGAAAAACTTGAAATAAAGAATAGATAAATCCAACAATCGAAAAATTGAAACATCGGAATATAGATTATGTGATCTAGAAATTAAGGAATTAACAAATTTTAAAAATCGAGAAATCCAAAAATTGAAAAATCGAAAAACTGATAAATCGAAACATTTTAAAATCGAAAAACTAAAAAATCAAAAACAGAAAAAAATGCTAAGTAAAACCTATTTAAATTTTATAAAATTCTACGTATTTTGAAAGCTTTCGTTTTTGTGATGTTTCGATTTTTCCATTTTTCTATTTTTAAAATTTTTCTTTTGCGATTTTTTAATGTTTTGAATTTTAATTTTTGTAGAAGCAAAAGTAAATAAGTAAGAGTTGCCCCTAGAATTGAAAAATATTGTTTCTGAAAAATCGAAATATCGCGAAATTGAAAAAACTAAAAATTCGAAAAATTAAAATATCGAAAAGTGAAAAATTCCCTAACTGAAATGTTGAAAAATTAAAGAGAATAAAGAAATGTAAAAATCGGAAAGGCGAAAAATTGTTAAAATCTACAAATCGAGATGTCAAAAAATCGAATCAAAACGTCATAAAATTCAAAAATTGAACAATCGAAAACCATAAAATTTAAAAAATCCAAAAATTTTAAAAAGTAAAACTATCGAACTAAAAAATCCAAAAAGGTGAAAAATCGGAGAACAATTGGAGAATCGAAAAAACCTAAAATCTAAAAATCAAAAAGATTAAAATTAAAAAATTTAAATAAAAAAATCAATAAATCGAACAATTAATCAAAAAATTGAAACATCGGATTGTAGATTAAACTAGAAATTGACAAATTAACAAATTTTAAAAACCCTGAAATCGAAAAATTGAAAAATCGAAAAATTTTAAAGTCGAAAAACTTACAATCGGAAAATCATAAATTTTAAAAACTGAAAGATTGAGCAATCGAAACATCAAAAAATCGAAAAATTGAAAAACTCAAAAATTAAATTGCCAAAACTGAAAAAATAAAACTAAAAAATGGAAATTTAGAGTGTACTTTAAGACGATCGTTTACATGGTAAGACGCTAACAAAAATTTGTTTGCTCGTTCCCACCAAAGATTCAATGACGTCATATCAAAATTTTGCTGAGTGAATCCTGTTTAAATTTCAAAACATTTACAGACCTATTTGGAATGTGAATTCAAAACGAGTAGAAGGTAAATATTCCATTTTTATCAGACAGGAACCGACCCCTCGATATTTACCCAAACTATTTTCTAGTAATTTATTGATCAGGTAAACACCATTAACATACATTGGATAAATATTTTCTTAGGATTTATTCCATCACCTCGCCTCAAATTTTCATCAACTCCGTTCACCAACCTTTTTTGCATCCACTGCGATTACTGATGCATCCACGTCCAATTTTGCATGCAAACATCTGGCATTCCCTTTGATCCTCAGATTATTGCGTCGTAGCCGGAATATCGGGCTCTATCTTACAAAAACCACGCTTCCATAAATTCATAATAATAATTAAACCAAACTGTAAACTTCCGTTAAGCACCTTACATAATCCCCTAATTTGTTGATGCTCTTACCGGGGTCGTTTTCATCCCCCTTAAGCACCCTTAAATAATCAAAAGGACAATTTTTTCACCCGACGTCTTAAGACAAGAAACAGTGATAAATTCAGCCGAATTTGAGTATTTTTTGCGATGAAGCTTTTTATTGACCCCTGTCTACGTTACAAAACACTAAGCTAATAAAGGTCAACATAAAGCGAGTTTTGTTTTAGTATCCGGTAAATTTGTCATAATTTTGCTTTATTGCTGTCGTAGACATCTGTTGAAAGCGAAGCGTCAAGCTTTATACGAGAGAAAAAATTGAATTACGGTGCACGTCATCGGGGTGTTGTGTGAGAAGAACACGGAATGACAAGTCCTAGTGCAATTTCGCAACTAATAGCGAGTTTTGACGGACTTTGATGTCCTCAAGAACGTTTTCGAAAATTAATCACCAGATGCAACTGACTCAATTTAACTTACTAAAATTCTTAAAACAATTCCAGAAATGTCGTTTAACTTTCGACTTAGCAACTTTAATTTAGACAGTTGGTTTTATAATTAGCTCGTCTTAGATTCATTAAATTTGTCCCAACTTGTTTGCGAGTTAAAGAAGAGTGTTCGCGTTTTTCACTTAATTACTTTTGCTGACGACGTCTAAATGAGGTTTTGTATTTGCTGGTTATTTTATAGTTGAACGGATTTCAAATAACCGGCTGATTTTTTATAATAACGGGCGAACGCAAAATCGAAACAGATGTACCAAAGACAAATAAATGCAAAACGAGTTGGGTTGCAGGGATAGAAAAATCGATGGCTAATTATAGCTTTGTATCCCGGCGCATCCGCCAAAAATTAATCGCATTGTACGGACGCTGCGACTACGTCAACACATATTTGTTGACTCGGACTCATCAAGGCTTTTGATCTTGCGGCGACTGTAAACAAACATTTTGTTTTTAACTTTTTTTTTGATGTGTTGGGTGCGGAGCTTTTATTTAAAAAGGGCGTTAGTTTAAAGAGCTTTCTCTGGTAACGAGAAATGGCAATTAGGTCAGATTTTAATTTTAAATTTCGCGGGTTTTTAAAAGGTGATGAGGTTGTTTGTAGACGACATGAATAAGGACGGACTTACGGTTCGGTTTTGTAGCAGACTGGAGTGGCAAAACTGAAACAAAAAAAGCATACATTACTACTACTATTTATTAATTTCAGGCTTTCCTGAAACGCTTTGTATGTTGCGTGTCCACGGTCCTTAACATTTTTGTTCTAATTAAAATTATTCGCTTATTACAATTACGGCGAAGTTGCATGATTCTAACTATTTCTTTTATACGACTGAGGTGTTGCCATTAATAAAAACTCTGGCTTTAATAAATATTTATAATCTATTCCCGGACTTTAGGGTTAGTGGAACACTCTGCATTTTAAGTGCAGCTTAAGTCAAAGCACAATAAATGAGTTTTTTGAACTTAGAAATGGTTTATTCATTCATTCAACATCAAAATTAAAGCTGAATACAAGTTTTTTGAACACCACAAGTATGCATTAAAGTCAGGTCAGGTCAGGTCAGGTCAGGTCAGGTCTTCTTGTTTCCATTTTTTGAACGACTTTACTCCGTATTACAGAGTGAAATTTCCTTCACAAAAATGATGAAGTCGTTAAACAGTTTTACTTATAATTTTTTGATAGTCCATTTGGTTCGTTAGAAAATTTTATTAAAATTATTTTGATTACAACTGTATGAAAAAAAAGAAGAAAACCTGAAGTTATAATTTTCATCTCAATCGTGTTCTGGCTTTCCAGATTAAATTATTTTATTTTTCAATTTTTCAACTTTAAAATTTTTCAATTTTTAGATTTTGCAATTGTTCGATTTGGGTTTCTCGAGTTTTCAATTTATAATTTTTCAGTTTATCGATTTTCAGATTTTCGTTTGAATTTTTTAATCTTTTGTTTTTTTTTGAATTTTTTATTCTTCAATTTTTTGTTTCTTCAATTTTTCGATTTGCAATTTTTCAACTTTTCATTTTTGTTTGTTTCTTTGAGTTTGAGATTTCACTTCGTTACGTTTTTCTTTATTTTTTAAATTTTCGGTTTCTCATTGTCCTGGTTTTATAATTTCCCGGTTTGAAATTTTATGATTTTCATTTAAAATTTGGAATAATAATTATAACATATTTATTATTGTGTTGTAAAAAAAAAATTCAATTTTTAATGCCTCGATTTTTATATTCGATTTCTTGATATATATTTAATTTTTCAATTTGTCGATCTCTCAAAATTACATTTTTTTAACTTTACAATTTTTCGATTCGATTTTCTTTTTATTAGCAATTTTTCGAATCATTAATTTTTTCGATTTTTAAGTTTCTCGATTTTTTTTCTTAGAGGGTATATCAATTGCCAAAATCAGTCTTTTCGTAGCAAAAACTAGCCCCGCCCACCCACCCTCTACTTTCTTGGAACGTATGTGATTTGCCAAATTCAGTCTTACCTCAGCAAGTACTAGGCCCGCCCACCCACCCTTTCTTTATTTTCTTAGAGGATATGTCATTCGCCAGAATCGGTCTTCTCTTTGCAAGTACTTTCGACCCATTTTCGACGATTTGCAAAATTTAACTAAATACATTTTCTGGTAAATTTCCGGCCGCAGAAGTCACTTGAACTTTTCAAGTGTTCGATTTTTAATTTTTTTTCAACTTTTCGAGTTTTCCACTTTAAATTTTTTAGTTTTTTAATTTACAACCTATAAATTTTTCTATTTTTCGATTTTGCAATTGTTCGAATTGGGTTTCTCGAGTTTTTAATTTATAATTTTTCAATTTATCGACTTTCAGTTTTTGGTTTCAATTTTTTATTGTCGTTATTTTATCAATTATTGGATTCTTGAGTGTTTAGATTTTGTAATTTTGTCTTTCTTCAATTTTTTATTCCTTCAATTTTTTGTTTCTTCAATTTTTCTACTTGCAATTTTTGCATTCTTCGTTTTTTTTTTGTTTCTTTGAGTTTGAGATCTTATTTCGTTACGTTTATTTTCTATATTTTTTCAAATTTTCTGTTTTTCATTGCCCTGATTTTATATTTTCCCTTTTTTTTTGAATGTGAAAATTTTTAATTTTTCTAGTTTTCGATTATTAGGTTTTAAAACTTTTAGCCCCGCCCACCCACCCTTTCTTTATTTTCTTAGAGAATATGTCATTCGCCAAAATCGATCTTCTCTTTACAAGTACTATACAAATTTTAACCCATTTTCTACGATTTTTGAAATTTAAATAAATACATTTTTTGGTAGATTTCGAGCCGCAGAAGTCACTTGAATTTTTCAAGTCTTGGATTTCTAATTTTTTTCAACTTTTCGAGTTTTCCACTTTAAATTTTTTAGTTTTTTAATTTACAACCTATAAATTTTTCAATTTTTTGATTTTGCAATTGTTCGATTGGGGTTTCTCGAGTTTTCAATTTATAATTTTTCAAATTATCGATTTTCGGTTTTTCGTTTCAATTTTTTATTGTCTTTATTTTATCAATTATTGGATTCTTGAGTGTTTAGATTTTGTAATTTTGTCTTTTTTCAATTTTTTATTCCTTCAATTTTTTGTTTCTTCAATTTTTCTACTTGCAATTTATGAATTTTCGTTTTTTTTCTGTTTCTTTGAGTTTGAGATTTTATTTCGTTCCGTTTATTTTTTTATTTTTTAAAATTTTCTGTTTTCCATTGCCCTGATTTAATAATTTCGATTTTTTTTAATGTGAAAATTTTCAATTTTTCTACTTTTCAATTATTGGGTTTTAAAACTTTTTTATTTATGTATTCAACTTTCATTTTTTCATTTTTTAATGTCTCGATTTTTAATTTTTCAATTTCTCGATCTCGCAAAATCACATTTTTTTAACTTAACAATTTTTCGATGTTACAATTTCTGGGTTTTCCCATTTTTCGATTCGATTCTATTTTTATTAGCAATTTTTCGAATCATTAATTTTTTCGATTTTTAATTTTCTTAGATTGTATATTAATTGCCAAAATCAGTCTCTTCGTAGCAAAAACTAGCCCCGCCCACCCGCCCTCCGTTTTCTTAGAGGGTATATTAATTGCCAAAATCAGTCTTTTCGTAGCAAGTACTAGCCCCGCCCACCCACCCTTTCTTTATTTTCTTAGAGGATATGTCATTCGCCAAAATCGGTCTCTCTTTGCAAGTACTATATAAAATTTTGACCCATTTTTGACGATTTTCGAAATTTAACTGAATACATTTTCTGATAGATTTCGGGCCGCAGAAGTCACTTGAATTTTTCAATTCTTCAATTTTTTATTTTTTTTTCAGTTTTTCAACTTGCAATTTTTGGAGTTTTCCAGTTTAAATTTTTTAGTTTTTCAATTTTCCAACTTATAAATTTACTATTTTTAGATTTTGCAATTGTTCGATTTGGGTTTCTGGAGCTTTCAATTTATAATTTTTCAGTTTATCTATTTTCAGTTTTTTCGTTTCAATATTTTATTGTCTTTATTTTATCAACTATTCGATTCCTGAGTGTTTAGATTTTATAATTTTGTCTTATTTCAATTTTTTATTTCTTCAATTTTTTGTTTCTTCAATTTTTCTATTTGCAATTTTTGAATTTTTCATTTTTTTTTTTGTTTCTTTGAGTTCGAGATTTTATGTCGTTACATTTATTTTCTTTTTTTTTAATTTTCTGTTTTTCATTGTCCTGATTTTATAATTTTTCTTTTTTTTTTAATGTGAAAATTTTCAGTTTTTGGATTTTCCAATTTTTCAATTTTTCTACTTTTCAATTATTGGGTGTTAAAACTTTTTTATTTATGTATTCAATTTTTCATTTTTTCAATTTTTAATGTCTCGATTTTTAATTTTTCAATTTCTCGATACATATTTAATTTTTCAAGTTTTCGATTTCTCAAAATTACATTTTTTTAACTTAGCAATGTTTCGATGTTACAATTTCTGGGTATTCAAATTTTTCGATTCGATTCTCTTTTTATTAGCAATTTTTCGAATCATTAATTTTTTCGATTTTTGAGTTTCCCGATTTTTTTTCTTAGAGGGTATATAAATTGCCAAAATCAGTCTTATCTTCTCAAATACTAGCCCCGCCCACCCACCCTCTATTTTCTTAGAAGCTATATTAATTGTCAAAATCAGTCTTTCGTACCAAGTACAAGCCCCGCCCACCCACCCTTTCTTTATTTTCTTAGAGGATATGTCATTCGCCAAAATTGGTCTTCTCTTTGCAAGTACAATGCAAATTTTGACCCAATTTTGACGATTTTCGAAATTTAACTGAATACATTTCGGGTAGATTTCGGGTCACAAAAGTCACTTTAATTTTTCAATTCTTCGATTCTTCTTTTTTTTTCAGTTTTTCGATTTGCAATTCTTCGAGTTTTCCAGTTTAAATCTTTTAGTTTTTCAATTTTCCAACTTATAAATTATTCAATTTTTCGATTTTGCAATTGTTCGATTTAGGTTTCTGGAGTTCTCAATTTATAATTTTTCAGTTTATCGATTTTCAGTTTTCCGTTTCAATTTTTTATTGTCTTTATTTTATCAATTATTCGATTCTTGAGTGTTTAGAATTTATGATTTTGTCTTTTTCAATTTTTTATTTTTTCAATTTTTTGTTTCTTCAATTTTTCTAGTTGCAAGTTTTGAATTTTTCGTTTTTTTTTGTTTCTTTGCGTTTGAGATTTTTTTCCTTACGCTTATTTTCTTTATTTTTTAAAATTTTCTGTTTTTCATTGCCCTGATTTTATAATTTCCCTTTTTTTTCTGAATGTGAAAATTTTCAGTTTTTGGATTTTTCAATTTTTCTACTTTTCAATTATTGGGTGTTAAAACTTTTTTATTTATTTATTTATTCAACTTTTTATTTTTTCAACTTTTAATGTCTCGATTTTTAATTTTTCAATGTCTCGATATATATTTAATTTTTCAATTTTTCGATCTCTCAAACAAACATTTTTTTAACTTTACAATTTTTCGATGTTACAATTTCTGGGTTTTCCCATTTTTCGATTCGATTCTCTTTTTAATAGCAATTTTTCGAATCATTAATTTTTTCGATTTTTAATTTTCTCAATTTTTTTTCTTAGAGAATAGGAGTATATCAATTGCCAAAATCAGTCTTATCTTCCCAAACACTAGT